CCCACCTCGGCCTCCCAAACTGCTGGGATTACAGGCGTGAGCCACCGCGCCTGGCCCAGATTTTAGTTTTTGTGTGATGGGCAGCCATCACATGGTGTTGAGCAGGGGAGTGACACAAAATTATTTAGGAATTGCTGGGCGCAGTGGCTCACACCTGTAATCCCAGCACTTTGGGAGGCCGAGGCGGGCGGATCAGGAGATCAAGAGATCCAGACCATTCTGGTCAACATGGTGAAACCCCGTCTCTACTTAAAATACAAAAATTAGCTGGGCATGGTGGCGCAAGCCTGTAGTCCTGGCTACTCAGGTGGCTGAGGCAGGAGAATTGCTTGAACCCAGGAGGCGGAAGTTGCAGTGAGCCGAGATCAGGCCACTGCACTCCAGCCTGGCACCTGGTGACAGAGCGAGATTCTGTCTCAAAAAAAAAAAAAAAAAAAAATTATTTGGGAATTAAACTGATCTTTCTGCTGCTCCATGGGGACGAAGAGTGAAGTGGTAGCAGGAAACCAATTGGTCTTTTACAACAGTTCAGGTGAGGGATGACAGTGACTTGGACTAGCATGTGGTAGCTATGGAGATGGTTGAAAATGGCCAGATGTGGGATCTATTTTAAAGGTATCACCAACAGCATTTGCAGACTCAAGGATGATTTCAAAGTTTTTGCTCTGAGCAGCTAGGTGAATGATGACATTGTTTACTGAGACAGGGAAGCCTTAAGTAGAAGGTTGAGGAGGGAAAATATAGATTTTGCTTTGGACACATTATATTCTACATAGGCATATTTAAAAATAGTTACCAGGTCCATCAGCTGATGGATGAACTATGGTATATCCATACATTGGAATATTATTTGGTAATAAAAGTAAGTGCTGGGCACAGTGCCTGACACCTGTCATCCCAGCAGTTTGAGAGCCTGAGGCAGGTGGATTGCCTGAGGCCAGGAGTTTGAAACCAGACTGGCCAACATGGCGAAACCCTGTCTCTACTGAAAATATGAAAATCAGTCAAGCATTGTGGTTCATGCTTGTAATCCCAGCTACTCAGGAGGCTGAGGCAGGAGGATACCTTGAACCTGGAAAGCAAGGGTTGTAGTGAGCCAAGATTGCACCACCGTACTCCAGCCTGGGCAACAGAGCAAGAC